TTGCGCCCCCATGAGCCCTTGATAATTTATAAATTAAAACTAGAATTGGAGAATGTAGAAAGTGTTAGAGCCTGTCACACAGAAGAGGAGTAGACACTCCTTCATGAGACCATGACTAGGACAAACACATATACCGGAGGGGGCTTCTAAAAATTCGTGGAAAAATGGAATCGCTGTGCTCAGACTGAATGGTGTAAAACAGCAGCAGTAATTCTTTAAAAGTTTGAAAGCACTGGTCTAGGAAAAGTCAGCAAATTATTTTCTGCATATGAGCTGCAATGCCAAAGGCCACGTGTCAATCTCTGAGCCTGGGGCCTGAGAACATTCCCAGAACTCTATGTGTCTGCAGAGCAGAAAAGAGGCAGGCTCTTTGGTATGACCTAGGGCCGACCCCTCATTTTACAGACCAATACAACTGAGTCTTGGAGCAATTTAACAACTTCCTAAACCAGACAGCTAGTGTCTATAGACTGAGCCACGATTGCAACTCCCAGCCATCTTTTCAACACAATGCCCTACAGACATCATCCTATTTACTCCTAACAAGCCTACCCAAACCTGGTACCCTGCTCCAAAGTCTAGCCAATTACCTCGAAGCCCAACTGCAGGTTAGGTCTTCTGACCCCAGTGCAGTGCCCCCTCTGCCACACCATGACACCTTTTCATTCCCCTTCTAGACAAAAGCTAACCTCCATCTACTCTCACACCCAAAAGAATGAATCATCTCAGGAGCAGGGAGTAGGAGGAACTATCACCGTCCCCACTTAGAAGACTCATCCTGGATGACGGTCACCCAGGGATGGGGATGGGAAACCTTTGTCTTCTGTGGCCCCACATTTCCCACCCAAAGGGCCTTCACACCACAATATTGTCTCCTGTGAGTAATGGTTGGCTGTGATGTTACTTTCTGCATAAATCACAACTAGAGTTATGCTTACTCCTACACTATCATTAACATAAATAGCTATTGGAAAGCAAACTCGTGTGAATACATTAAACAAGAGCTTTGAACAGGCTCAGTCACAGTAAAAGCCTCAGGAGCGCCATGTGGGCGGCTGGGTTAAGGACAGCACGGTGGAGTGATATTTGAAGAGGTCTGGTCAGCTACTCCATCTTTGAATGGGACTCTGCGGTTTGACTCTGCAGGCCATTCACCGGCACCCCAAGCCCTTGTTGTGTAAAAGGGACGGTAAGTTTCTAGTGGGATATCAATCCTTAATTTTTATTTTGCTCAACCTACATTTTGCAGATTTGAAACCATTTCAGTTCTTGGCTAGAACTGGGAAGAACTGGCTTGAAACTATGAAACCAATTGTCCAAACAAGTATTACCTTTGTGTTTTCGAGCTCCTCCCTCTCTGCGGGCTGCTGCAATTTCCAGCCAATAAACACTGGCATATGCTACAAGTTTAGATACAATTACAAAAATGTTGCAAACCAAGCTAGGGGACAATGACCATTTTTTGATTCTAACAGTGGCACACTCAGGGCCACATGGGGGCAACCTGAGAACCCAGGTTCTACCTCAGGGCTTTTCATACTGGTGGTGGGGGGTCAGTGGTGCCAGAGGAGGCAGCAAACTAGGGGCCCAGCCTCACGAAAACCAACTGGGTTTGTTATATTTCTTTGAAAAGTTTCCACGTCTGGGGGGAAAAAAAATCTGTCTTCATATGGCCTTCTCCCCTGACCCCACTTCCAGCTCCACACAAGCCTCTCCTCGAGACTCCTTGCCCACAAGATACCACACCATGTCCTTCCCTTCCCCATTCTCGTGCGGCACTGATGATGTGTGTCCTGCGTCAGCTTCCAATCAGGCCGTGCTCGTTCGTCACTCCCATCCCCTCTCTGCCCAGCACATACAAAATTCAGCTAACACCTTGCATTAGTCTGGGTACTTTAGAGAAACAAATCCACAGACACTCATGTATAAGAGAGTTTTATATATAGGTTAAGTGTGCATCAAGAAAACATCCCAACCCAGTGCTGCCCAAGCCTGCAATTCAACATTAACCCATTAACCCATAAGTCCAACACCAGTCCACAAAGTCCTCTTCCATCTCACAAAGCAGACATTACGATGCCAACTGTAGGAGGAAAGCTGAGTCAGTGAACGTGTAAGCATCTCAGCACTGGCAGGGGTCTCCACATGGGTGCTCCAGCACCCAGGGCTGCATTGGGGTAAGTCCATGTGGCTTCTCCTTGGGGATATCTTGTATGAAGTCAATCTTGCAAGCTGAAGCAGGGAACTGCTAAGGTGCGACCATCACAAAGCAAGAGACCCGAGAACTGCAAAGGCGAGGCTTACCAAGCCATTTATCCCTCCGCCCTTCAATTAATCCCACATGTGTTTATCGGCCAGGTTGGCACAATAAACTAACTAACTCACACCTGCAGGTTCATTTCCTAGAAATGAGCATCCTACTACATCTACTTCACACACAGTCCTGGCTCTGAAGGAGTGGCCACTTCAGCAGTATGTGGCTAAGGTAACTTGAAATCGGAGAACACAACTGAAGCAGGAAGTCCAGAGGTGGCCGGGCCCTGTGTGAACTGCAGCCCAGAGCGGGGATGCACAAGGAGACTGTGGGGAAACTGCAAGTGCCAGTAGCAATTTCCTGCTTGCTGGATCATTCCATCACCAGGGAGCGCTTGTGGCATCATAGTGGTTATGCGTTTGGCTGCAAAGCTCAAGGCGCACAGTTTGAAACCACTAGCTGCTCTGAGGAAGATGGGGTTTTCTACTCCAGTAAACAGTGACTGTCTCAGGAACTCATAAGGGCAGTTCTACCCTGACCTATAGGGTCTCTGTGAGTTGGCATCAACTGGATAGCAGTGAGATTCCCATCACTAGGCTGTTGGTTTTCTCAAACATAAGCAAACAGACGAGTAAACCTTCTGGGGACCCACTGTCCTCCAAGCTACGGCTCCTTTCCTTGCTCTCTGTACAACAAAATGCAGGAACTGCCCATAACCAGCGCTCCTCCTTTCATTTCCCCATTCAGTCCTCATAGGTACTCTCACCAGTGGTGGATATCACGTCTTTCTTTTGCACCTGTCTTCCAGGACCCCACACTTGGTTGTTCTCTAGCCTGGCTGTTCCTCAGACTCCTTGTCTCCTCCTTCCTCTTTTCCCCTGACATCTTCATGCTAGGAAGCCACGTCACACAGTCTTTTACTTTGTGTACTTTGAATCCGTTCATTGAAGTAAAACATAAATGCAAGTAACTGACGGTGGCCATTACAATACTCAATTGCTGGTTCAACATCTCTACTTGGCACCTCAAACTTAATGGCCTCCCCTCACCCTCCCCAAAACCTCCACCCCCAAATCTGCTCTGCTTGTAGCCTTCCCCACCTCTTACTGCCAACTCCGTCCTTTCAGTTACTCAGACCCAAAGCTTCCAATTAAGCTCGACTCTTCTCTTTCTCTCCTATCCATACCTGTCACATCAGAAAACAATGCTGGCTGCACCTTCAAAATATGTCCAGAATCCCACTTCCATCAGTGACTCTTTTGTCGCTGAGTTTGGTCAGGAGGGTCTACGAGAGTCTATTCTCCCCGGAGCGGCAAGATTGGTGATTCTTTTGCTTTATTAGTGATTCTTATAAACAGTCACTGAGATCTGCCCACGCTGGTCCTCAAAACCTTATCAAAAGTGCTCAGAGAAACAAAGTCCCTACCACAACCCTCCGTGTGAGCTGACCCCATTTTCCCCTTAGTTCCTGTCACACCACTATCCCACTGCTCCTCATACACACTGGCCACATTTCTGGGAAGGACATGAATTTTTGCATGTCCCAGATGTATGCAGGATTAACATCTTACTTCCTTTAAGTCTTAACTCAAATGTTACTCCATAAGGCCTAACCACGCCAACTCTATTGAATGAACATCTTAGTCAACTATCTCTTACTTAGCTCACTTTTTCTTCCTCTTTCTCCTACACAGTACTTCTAACATCTTATCTAATTTACTGTGTGGTTTGTTTTTTGTAGGTCTCCCCGACTAGAATATAAACTCCAAGTTGGTGGGGCCCTTCACCTGTTTTATATCCCTTCTGTTGAATTCCCGAGTTCAGAATAGTGCCGCGGGGTGCTAACAGCAAGTTCAGGAGTTTGAAACCACTAGCCTCCGCTGAAAAAGATGACTTTCTACTCCCGTAAAGCGTTATCAGGGGTTGGCCTAGAGAGGGTCGCTCTGAGAAGGCAGTGAGTGAGCTTGCATTTTGGATTTGCACAGGAAGACCACAGTGCATTAGGGGGTGGGGGTGGGGGTGGTGCCACAGAAAGATGGGGTTGGAGAATAAGGGCCAGCTCTCCAAAGCCATGGGTACCAGAGTTTGGACTTGACACAGCAGCTTGGGAGCCACATAAAGATTTCAAATAGGGACCAGAAAGGGTTGGCATTTTAAAAGATCTCTTTAACGAGGGTGGTGCGGGGCTCTCTCTACAAGAAGTCCACCGGAGGACATAGGTGAACGCTGCAGATGAAGTAGGTGGAAAATCAGAACCGAGGCTGTCAGGAAATCAACGTTTGGGATCCAAGCAACTCTGTCCTTGACCTAAGTGACGTGGGGAACCGCTTCTCGTTAGCGGGCCGGCTTTTAGGTCTAGGGCAGCTTAATACGAACAAGCAACAATTAAAATGTCCTTCCGGCGTCCTTACAGCCTGGCGAGTGAGTCAGGGTCGGGTTCCCCACCCCCGAGGGCGGTGCACCTTCCTCGGAGCCCCAAGGTCAAGGGAAACTGGACACCGGTGTCCTCGCGCTGTGGCCGGACCCAAGGGCGGACAGGCTCGCGCCCCCCACCGCCCCGCGCAGTCCCGGGCACGCGGGCCGTGGCGCGGCTCCGAGGGCTAGGGCAGGGCGCCTGACGCTTAAGCGGAGGGACGCGCCGCGCCTCGCCCTACAGCTGCGCAAGGTGCAGTAACAGAGGGGCGCGGGCCGGGGGCGCGGCCGCCCGGAGCGGGAGGCTGGACGCCTCAGGTAGCGGCGCACTTACCTGTACGTCAGGGCCACTCGAGCCTCCCTCCCCGCTGCAGCGACTGCGGACTCAGGAGCTCCCGTCTGCGCCCCGCCCCTTCCGCCCGCACCGGCGCAGCGAGTGGACCAGGGGGAGCGCCGGCACGGCGGTGGCGGCGGCGGCGGCGGCGGCTGGGACCGCGCAGCGCCCCCTGCTGGGCGCTGAGAAACTCGGCGGACTACGAGGGGCGGGGCGCCAGTAGGACCGCCCAGAATCAGCCCGGAGCTGAAGCTACGGAGGCGCAGCTTGATTGCGGTGGCTCAAAAGACTTTATTTGAATACCGTAGTCCTTAGGGTCTTTTAGATCACCAATTTTTGGAGACTTCTGGACTTTATCCCCGGGAAAATGGAGACACGTTCCAGAATGTGCTGGTAATTTAAGAGTCTTTCAGAATTTCTCTTCAAGAATAGAAGCATATTAAAAGATCAACTGAGTTCCACCTCTTTCTCTAATTTTACCTGTCCTGCAGGAGGTGATGGGGCTGGGCGGGGTCTGTGAAAATATCATTTAATAGTAGGTCTTGTAGCCACAGTCCTTTAGGCATAAGAGGAACTAGAGACAAAAGAACTTTGAGGGCATGTCGTGCTTCAAGTTTTGTGTAGGTTCACACTTGGAAGATCTGGTGAATTCTGCCTGCCAGCTTTTGTTCAGCAGCCCAGCGCTTTAACCACCGCCCCACCAGGGCTCCTCAGAAGAAACAGCCATTGCAAATTATTTCAAGGACTGAGATGATACAACCTAGTATATCACTTCATGATAGTTTTGGTATTTTGGAAGATATACAGTTGGGTTTGCCAGTTCAGGTTATTTGTAAAGGATTACTGAGATATCTTTAAGGGATCTACCAAGAATTGAGATCAATAAGTATTATTATAAACTTATAAAATTGCTATATGAATATGAATGATTATGGAAGGGTATTTAAGAAGCAGACTCTCACTTTGATGACAAAGGTGCCTGCCAGTTACCCAAATCATAGCTTTTTCAATCACCCCATATACATTCGAAAGCCAGAGAGTGAAAAAGACAAAACAATTGATGCATTTGATTGTGGTGTGGGTGAAAAATATTGAATATACCATGGACTTCTAGAAGACAGAACAGATAGGTTTTCCAAGAAATGCAACCTAAATGCTTCTTAGAAGTGAAGAAAGCAGACTTCCGCTCCCTTCCTTGTGGGGTTAAAGGGAAGAAGGAACTCCACAAAACATCACAGGTTCGGCAGGCGCAATTGTACAGCGATAATAAGTAGAGATTATAGTAAAGTCATAGAGAGCATGAGAGTTAAAGGATGGAGTCAAGTAATGGAGTCAGATGCAATTCCTGGTAGCATCGCTCACCTCAGCCCCGCTAGATGGTCCTCGTGGAGGGGGCTTAGCCGTCAGAGAAGAAGCCGCTGCCTCATCCTCCTTAGCCACCTCAATCAGTGAGCCTTATTATTTATTGATAACCACGCATCATATCACTTTAGGGGGATCTGATTACAGAGTCATACATCACAGAAAGGGGCAATACAATTCATTCTTGAACAAGTTTGATCATTCTGGTGTCTCATACAATAAAACAGACAATTACTATTCTGGGAGGCATGCAAGTCCCCTGATAGCAGACAATAACCTAAGTCATAAGGAGGTGTAGCAACATAGGCAATACACATCAATAGGAGGGGGATGACCTAGAGGTGTGCCCACATTTGTTGTGGGATAAACAGTGGTGTCTGCTTGATCTAGACAGCTGATAATGGCTACCTAACCTTGGTCATCCTTGGGTGGGTTTGACCTCTCTGGTATCTCCTACAAGTAAACAGACAACCACTTATCATTATCAGAAGGGAGTGGGCCCTACTTAGGGAGGCATGGCGGACGACCCCATTGGCTGAATTCACCTGGCCTAGGTGGGCCAATCCAGGTACAGCTCCCACCCACGCATTCCTGGCGGGAAACCTGAACCTCTGAGCATGTGCAGTATGGCACTCCTTTGTTTCTGTAGCTTGACCCTCTGGGCATGCACTAACGGACATTCCCCCAGCCCTATGCTAGCCTACCTAACAGACTGTTACTCATGCTACACCATGCTTCCAGACAAAATTTCATTTATTTGTCATTAGAAATCAATATTTCACAATATATTATATATTATTTTTGTGATTATTCACTATGCTTTCATTATGTTCAATTTGTAACAACGAGAATACATCCTGCATATTAGATATTTCCATGACGATTCAAAACAGTAGCAAAATCACAGTTATGAAGTAGCAATGAAAATAATGTTATGGTCGGGGGTCACCACCACCTGAGGAACTGCATAAAAGGGTCGAGGCATGAGGACGGTTGAGAGCCGCTGTGAAATGCCCCTGTGAATTTCTGAGACTGTAACTCTTATGGGAGTAGAACGTTCTCTTTCTCACATGCAGAGGCTTGTGTTTTTGAACGGATGACCTTGCTGGCACAATAAACTATCTCACAGCCTAACTCAAAACCATTGTACCACTGTGGGGTACCAGCCTCCACAATCAAAGGGGTCCAAGAGGCAGTTGTGTAATTGAAGGGTAAAATTAAAGAGACATTAGACAAGATAAAGCATGCAAGATAAAGCAGGGTCACCTCATCAAGATTAGGCTGCCATCTTGAATCTAGAGCCTGCCTATCTTGTTAAGCGTATGCCTATTGTATAACCCCTTCCTGTTTCGTATGTGGTTGCCTGTCATTAGGAGGACTGGCACACCCCCGAATGTAGATAAGCCTCTGTTGGAAAAATATTCTCTCTCTCTGTACAGATCTGGCTCCTGAAATCTTGATGAGGTGACCCTGCTGTGTTGGGTTCTCATTGAAGTATCACTGTGTGGAAGTGTCCTCAGGGTTTTTACTTAGAATAGGAATTGCTGAATGTGGCCGTAAGTATGCTCACTCGCAGTCTTACCAAACATGGCCTCCTTAGACTGACGTACAGTCACATGTGCTCATGAAAGTCACAATTTGTCTCTCCTTCTCCCTAACTGCTCATATCATCAGATTTTTAAATACTCTCTCATAGATGCTAAATGGTATCTTGCTTTATCTTGTAAATTTACCCTGGTTCGTACTGTTTCAGAGGACAAACGTCCCAAATCTCATATATGATTTAAGGAGAATATTAAGTCTTAAATGGGACAAAGACAAGACACCAAGACATATCCAAACGAGGGAGACTATTAGCACAATGTCATAATGGCATTCAAGGATTCATAGGCACAGTCACTTAAATAGGACATGGTGAATAAAGGAAATTGTCACACATTTATGATTGGTGGTCCATCAAAACATCACAGTTACTGGGGAGACTCTAGAAGTGGGAATGGAACCATAAATGGGATACATACATTATGGGTTTTTAAAAAAATCATTTTGGGGGCTCTTACAGCTCTTAGAACATGCCATACATCAATTGTCTTAAGCGCATTTGTACATATGTTGCCATCATCATTTGCTAAACATTTACTTTCTATTTGAATTCTTCTATCAGCTCCTCTTTTTCCCCTCCCTCCCACCATCGTGACCCCTTGATAGCATAAATTATTGTTTTCATGTCTTACACTGAGTGCTGTCTCCCTTCACCCAGGTTTTCTGTTGTTCATCTCCCTGGGGCGGGGGGCATACATTATGTTAACCAAAAGAGCTTACAAGATTGGTGGTCCATAGCCTCCCAACCCAGACAGTCAGGGCATGGCTGGTGGCTATGTGACTCCCAGTAGACCCACCTATCTGAATCAAGGACACCCTCAACCTAGTCCCTTAGGGCAACTGCCTCTCCTGGCTGGCTGGAGAAAGGTGGAGGTAATCCACTTCCCAATGCACTTTGCCTGAGAACACGGCTATTCATATCCCTACTTAGTGGTCTGAAGGAATTCAGTGGAGGCTTAATCCACGTGGGGACTCTAGAAATGGATTTTCGGCTCTTGCTGTCACCGAAAGCCTGTAGATAGGGTGCTCAGAATTTAAGTTCAAATACAGTAGTGACATTAAGTATCTTTCCCCCATTTTCATTATTCTTGAAGATGTACACAGCAAAACTGACTCTGATTCAACAGTTTCTGCAAGAACAATCCAGTGACATTGATCACACTCTCCAAGCCGTGGGAATATTCCCACCTTCCTCTTCTGAATGCATCCTTCCCCATTGAAAAAAAGCTCATTATTCCCAAGCGTCCTAGCTAACCTTCAGAGCAGGGCCGCTGGACCATTTCTAAAACGTTGCTGTACTTTGTGGCTGTTGAGAATAGGCACAGCAGACCTCATGGCAGTTTAACAATTTCCACACGTGCAATTCAGTGATGCCGATTCCCTCTTCACGTTGTACCAGCATGCCCACCTTCCTTTGCCAGATTGTTTCTCTCCATTAACGTAAACTCACTGCCCCCCTAATTTCCTAACTAATCTTTCAAGTTGCTGTTGTCAATCTGATCCCGTATGGACATTTCTTTAGAAAGCACACGAGGCGCCCTCGTGCAGCAGTGATTACGTGTGGTGTTGTGATCTGAAAGGTCTGGGGAGAAACGGGGCTATGCCTATTCCCGCAGAGTTACAATCTTGGAAACTCACAGGAGCAGTTCTATCCTGTCCTGTGGGTTCCCTATGAGTTGGCATCAACTCCAGGGCAGTGAGTTTAGTGTTTTTTTCCAAGTAACCACAATGCCCAAGGCAAATATTCTTAATATGTTTGGTAAGAGAGCCCTGGCAGAGTAGTGGTTACGAGTTGGGCTGCTAACTGAAAGGTCAGCAGTTCAAAACTACCAGCTGCTCTGCGGCAGCAAGATGAGGCTTCCTATTCCGTAAAGAGTTACAGTCTCAGAAACTCACAGGGCATTCTACCCTGTCCTATAGGGTTGCTATGAGTCGGCATCAACTTGATGGGCGTAAGTTTGACTTTTGGGGGGAGGTAAGTGGGTGAATATTGTTTGTTTTAAAGAAGTCATCGGGAATATTTTGGATTCAGTTTTGGGTGTTCATGCAGGTGCCATGACTCCAGACATTCTAGATTCTATGAGAACGTGACATTTGGTTATGCAGTCCCCGC